GAGAAGAAGTGGAGGTGGTGGAGAAGTATAAATACCTTGGAGTTCACCTGGACAATAGACTGGACTGGAAATGCAACAGTGACGCTGTCTACAAAAAGTGACAGAGCAGACTGTACTTCTTGAGGAAGCTGAAGTCCTTCAACGTTTGCAGCAAGATGCTGCATATCTTCTATAAGTCTGTTGTAGAGAGTGCCGTCTCTTCTGCCATCATCTGCTGGGGTAGCAGCACCAGAGCAAGTGACTTAAAAAAGATCAACAAGCTCATAAAGAAGGCTGGCTCAGTTCTGGGGACTCCTCTCGAACCTTTGGAGATGATTGTTCAAAGAAGGATTCTTCATAATATGAAGAACATTATAGACAACCCTCAGCATCCTCTTCATCAGACTGTCATACAACAACAGAGTGTCTTCAGTCAGAGGCTTCTTCAAATCCGTTGTAGGACAGACCTCTACAAGAGATCCTTCCTGCCCACAGCCATCAGCATCTAGAACAACTCTTTAATGAAACCAGGATGATGAGTTACAACAACATTTAATTTCCCTCTGGGATTAATAAAGTATTTTTGAATTGAATTGAATTGAATTATACATTGGACGACGTCCTCAAGAAGTTCAGTCTATGTGGTCGAGGTAACGAGCTCGTTTGGGCGAAGCATGATGTCGTGCATCTTACCAGACTTCAGAGCATCATTTACAGACTGGATCATTGCAGGTCTGGTGTTCCACCTCATCTCTCCACAGCTGGACCAGTCCAGAGCCTTGTGTAACCTAAAAGTGAAAGAAGACAGCGCACAAGTCAAAATAGGTTGACCGTGACTACAAATTACAATCTGTTGACCTGTCTTTTGGAATTTTTTTTTTTTTAACAAAAACAAGAGATTTACAATTGAAACTAAGTAAAAAAAAAAATAAAAAGAAGTGACCTTTGCAATTATAAATTACAGAAGCTTATTTTTTCTTTATTTATTTCACTTATCATATTTTATTATTACTTAAACAGCCTCACCAGGCAGAGATTACAATTATTTATGTATCTTACCTGCTCTTTTGAAGTGTGTGACAAGGGTCTTTGTGTCCAAAACTGTTTTAACAGTTTGCTTGCAGAGCTAACAACTTCCTGTGTTAGGTAGAAAAATTAAATTAAATTAAAGACAAACAAAAAGCTTAGTGCTACTTCTTGTTGTGCCATGCTTCAGTGTTTCCCCTACCATTATACAAGCGGGGTGCCCCACCCCGTCAACTGAATTGAGCACCTCGCCTACCAAACCAAACTTGCCCCCCCCACCTGCCCACCCGTCACTGACATAGCACTAAGCTAGCAGCGAGAAATACAAATTCTCTAGCTAAAAAGCTAAAGGAAGCACTCATGTTGCCTCTTCCCTCATGCTAAGCGCCTCCTGCCCCCACTCAAAAACTGTTAGTACAAGCTGCACTCAGACAAGTGTCCGTCCCCCCATCAACAAAAATCATTGATGAGATGAGCACACCGCCATGGCAAGTTAACTAGGGGAGACATTTTTTTATGTAACGGTTACGTATGTGAAATCAAGGTTTTGGGGTGCCAGCCAGGTCTCTCTCCTGACATATAAGAGGTTTAATTTTATATGTTTACCCTTGAACACAAAACCCGCACAAAGGATGTAAAACACAGAAGTGATTAACACCCTCAACATTAAATGAAAAAAACCCAACAACCACAAAGTTTCTCAGCAAGTTTCAAATGTATTTACCCACCGACACACAAAAAAATAATACTTCATACAATAATAATCAATCCTTTAACTTAAAGAGGGACATAGCTCGAGCATTATTCAATCACTTAATTTCAGTCCCAAACACTGCACAGAGGCACAACCAGCACGGTGCTCAGCGGCACCCAAAGTTTAACAACCTGCAGCCGCAACAGGTTGGGAATGGATTTACACACACACATAAATAAACAATAGTTCATCCAATAATAATCAATTATTTAAATTAAAGAGGAACGTGGCTCGAGCGATAGTCAGTCAATTAATTGATGTTCCAAACAGTGCTCGGCGGCACACAAAGTTTAACAACCTGCAGCAGCAACCGCAGCAACAGGTTGAGTTGTTTCACTCACGCTACCGATGCTTGGGAGAGACACTCAGTCCAAAGGAAACGTTTCTGTTGCGAGCTGACGAGCCCTCAGGTGATCCAAAATCAGGTAGTCCGATGGTTCCAGACGAGCTGTCAGATGACACACCCCTTGCTGCTCTGCCGCGCTTCATTTCACAACTCTCAATAAGGGCGTTTCAACCAGAAACAGCTGGGCTTGGCTGCCAGCGTGTCGGAGGATGATTGCTCCAAACAATAAATGGGTGGATTGATTTTTTTATGTGCATAATATTTATTGGTGAGTGATCAGACCGTCACACTGTGCTTTCTAAAACAGTTATTGAATCAAGTATTTACTTATGTAGGTAAACATAGATGTTTTAAAACCTGTTAAAATGCACCAGAATGCAGGAAATAGCAGCTGCTTTATTCAAAAAGTTATGGGGAGGACCCACAGACCTCGCAACAATATGTCCCCCCTACAATAATTCTAATGCTAATACACACTGTGTGGTTCAAGCCAAGAGCCATTGTCAACCCTGGGGGGCTAAGGCCCCTAAAAAGGGCTTCTAGAATCGCCCCTGGTGTGAAAAAATGAACTGAGAAAAATCAACTCTAAAATTTAACATAATTGTACACATCATATCTTAAATCTAAAACTAAAACAATTATTATAATATATATGCAACCAGTCTTTCATATAAAAACTGGGATATTTTTACCGGAGAATGCTTTCACTAACGAGTTTGTTGTTGTACTGGCATGTTACAGCCGACAGTAACTATCTACACCACAAAGTGATGGTTATTCACGTTTTTCCTCGATTTAAGTATCCAGCAGGACGTCACAATATAAAAATAGGAATATTTTTACCGGAGAATGCGTGCACTTTAACCAGGTAGAGTTTGGTTGTTTTTAACATTACAAACAGCGACAGATAATGAAAATTTTAACCTAAAAACCCACATAAAAAAGCAGAGCATAATTTTAAATTAAAAGGGACAAGGTGGCGAAAAATGCGCTGTTTGAGTCTGTTTATTTACTGACGGTAAACAAAGTCCAACTCCCACCGCAGCTGAGACTAAAGTTTAAAGCAGCACAGCACCAACACAACTCTGATGAAGTTCAGGGTTATTTGACACTTTCCTGCCCGTTCTGTGAGTTTAATAGACAGACAGTTACTTCTTAACTTGCGTTGCAAACTATTTCACCGGAGGACATTGACTGATTACAGTGATCTTGAGAGCATCTATAAGCATTGTTGACCTCTCTCGTCTCAGATTGCAGAATGTCTACGTAAATATGTGCTTGTTTGTGCAAGGTGTTTTTTTAATATTAGAGGTTTTTTTTCTCAGGCAAGAAAAAAAGTCTGATAGGAATTTTTTTTCGCCTCCAACTCTTACATGTGTCCAGTTAACCACTGTTTTTGTCTGTCCAAACAGGTCTCACTTGTAAATGAGTCTTCGAGGCTCAATGTCATTTATCTGTTTAAATAAAGGTTGAATGAAAAAAATATATATATATTTCAGCCATTTGGTTTCTTTGGAGACTTCACTGTTCCTCCCACCCTCTCGGTGAAAAGCTACGGTGTTTTGACTTCTGGGAAATGTAGTTCTTTTGATTTGTGTTAAAGTGAAGGCTTACTGAAAGAAAACTACAAAATAGCTGCGCCGTTGTTTTTTTTTTTTTTTTTTTTCAATTTTGGTTAATGGTTGGTTCCCGCTCCTGTCTGCTCCCGTTAGCTTTCAGTTCGGTCATGTCCCGGTCACGTGAGTTATAATGAGGTTGACTCCGGTCTAATCATGTGACCCGCGGTTCTCCCGAAAAAATGTCATCCTCTAGTGTCTTGTCTTTCTCTCCGAATTATCCTTATGGTGTGTGTTTCTGCCTTCTGTCCTATGTCCTATGTCCTGTTATCAGTAAGTAAGCTGCCCTGTCAGCCTTTGCTTTGTTTTTGTATAATAAATATTTTGATTTTCCACAAGCCTCCTGCAATTGGGTTCAACACTCTTGACGGCAGAACGTGACAGAATCCGGAGACCAATTCTGAACCCAGCAGGAGGATGATCACTTTGTTTGAGTTTTTGGCCCGTGATGTGGAGAAGACCGCTCAGCGCAACAGAGAAAGGGAGGAGAGAATAAAGAATCTGTTTTGGGGGACCCACCTGGTCAATAAACCCGGGTCCTCATCTCACTCCTCCTCATCTGCTCGTCACGCCCACCTCCTCCTCGTTCGCCTCCTAGCTGTCCTGAACCAGTGTCGGAAAGACGGGGGTGAAATGCTGGTCCTCCCCGAGCCCAGCACAAGAGGGGGAGAGCTTCGTGAGCGGGGGCGTTTTAAACCCTTCCCACACTCTTGCAATGTTCTAAACAATGTTTCTAAACGCTCTAAAAGAGCACAGCAAGTCATGATTTCAGCTCCCTGCCTCCTCTGCTCTTTGCCACCTGCAAGCGCTCTTGGCCACACCCACTTCTCCACTTTGCATGCAGAACAGCTGATCAGCTGCAGCAGGAAGTTTATCCTGTAGTATGGGCTGCACAAAGGTGCAGGAGGAGCTAAATAATTTATTTTAAATAAAAATTCCTTGCCAATCATGTGGCTCATCCATCATTCAGCCAATTGTGTGTCATGTCCAAGTTTATTTTGAAAAAGCGCGATAGAGCGAGTCCCCAATAAGCAAACCGCAAAGTAGCGAGGGACTACTGTATTCTGTTCTTTTTTTTGTTGATTTGCTGTCAAATGAATCCTCAGCTAAAGAAATAAAAAAGCACATACCACTTACAGCTGCTTGTCTAGGTAACTAATGTTTGTGTAACAGGTTGAACAATGACAAGTCTCTGATGCAGGTTTTAGTTGTACTCCAATTGACTAAATGGATTTCTTTCATTCAGTGTAAAACTGCAGCCGTTTTCTGTGTATTTCAGTACCAACCTGCTCCACAGCCCGATGATCATAGACCAGACCCCAGAAACTCGACTCTGTCTGGCCCAGGCCTTGGCTCAGCAGTTCTTTGGCTGTTTTATCTCCAGAATGTCATGGTGAGCCAAAGTTTTTGTTGTTTCACGAAGAAAAAAATTCTCACTTTCACAATAAACATGCCTGATTCTTTTTTGCGTTATGAGCATAAACCATTTATTTTCTCACTAAGACTTACCCTCCCTGATTGTAAACAGCAGGCTCCTCTGGATGTGGTGTTTCAGACGGAGGCCATTCAAAGCAATTAGTCTTATGGAACAAGGTGTTCCAAGTTCAGCCATGGACACATTGTGATAATCCTCAGACTCTGCTTTTGTCATGCAAAATAATTGTTCACATTATTTGCAAGAGTTCATGTGAGCAAATACAACATGTACAAACCGGATTCCAAAAAAGTTGGGACCCTAAACAAATTGTGAACAAAAACTGAATGCAATGATGTGGAGATACAATACAATACAATACAACTTTATTTATAGAGCACTTTAAAACAACACTGTTGGCCAAAGTGCTGTACACTAGGACATACAAAAACATAAAAACCCCACACGTTAAAAATGTGAAATAAAATAAAGATAACAAATAAAATAAAACAAATAACTTAGAGTCATTAAAACCAACATTTCAAACTGAAGTAAAAGCCAAAGAGAAAAGATGTGTCTTCAGAGAAGACTTAAAAACAGGAAGTGAGCCAGCTTGTCTGACATGCAGAGGCAGCTCGTTCCACAGTTTAGGGGCAGCGACTGAGAACGCTCGGTCACCTCTCAGTCTCCTGTTGGACCTTGGGACGACCAGCAGCAGCTGATCTGCTGACCTGAGAGAGCGTGAAGGAGTGTACAGCTGGAGCAGGTCGGACAGATACTGTGGGGCGAGACCATGAAGACATTTGAAAACAAATAAAAGAACCTTAAAATTAATCCTGAAGCGAACCGGGAGCCAATGTAGTGATTCTAAAACAGGGGTGATGTGTTCTCGTTTTTTGGTACCAGTTAAAAGGCGGGCAGCTGCGTTCTGAACCAGCTGAAGTCGAGTCAGTAATGACTGGCTCAGACCGACATAAAGAGAATTACAGTAATCCAGGCGAGTTGTGATGAAAGCATGGATTAAGATCTGAAAATGATGTTGTGACAGAAATGGTTTGACCTTGGCCAATTGTCTCAAATGAAAGAAGCTGGACTTGATCACTGATTTAATCTGCGTGTCAAGTTTGAAGTCACTGTCCAGCCTCACGCCCAGGTTAGTTGCTGTCTCAGTCAGATGTTCTGTTAAAGGACCCAGATCGCATGGATATTGGAGCCTTCACTAGGCTTAAACAACAAGACCTCTGTCTTTTTGTCATTAAAATGTAAGAAGTTTAGTGACATCCATGCTCTGACTTCTGCCATACACCCCAGGAGTTGTTTCAAGGAATGGTGTTTGCCCTGTTTTAACGGAACATAGATTTGGCTGTCCTCAGCATAAAAATGAAAAGAAATGCCATGTTTCCGGAGAAGATGTCCCAGAGGGAGTAGATACAGGGAAAACAGAAGAGGGCCAAGTATAGAACCCTGAGGTACTCCACAAGTGAGAGGGGCTACAGAGGACTCCACAGCACCAATGCGCACGCAGAAGTTTCTTTCTGTCAAATAGGATCTGAACCACTGTAGAGCAGGACCCTGAATGCCCACCCAGTTCTCCAGACGAGACAGGAGGATGTGATGGTCTACTGTGTCGAAGGCAGCAGTCAAGTCCAACAACATTAAAACTACACAGTCACCAGAGTCTGCGGCTAAAAGAATGTCGTTGAAGACTTTCAGCAGCGCAGACTCAGTGCTGTGGTGAGTTTTAAAGCCAGATTGAAACTGTTCAAGAAGGTTGTGGTCGTTTAAGTATGATGTTAACTGATTGTAAACAATTTTCTCCAAGATCTTAGATATGAAGGGCAGTTTTGAGATGGGTCTAAAGTTGGACATTACTGTGGGGTCTAGGCTAGGTTTTTTAATCAGTGGTGTCACAACTGCATGTTTAAAGCTCGCTGGTACCTGTCCACATGCCAAACTGTCATTTATAATTTGGCACACATGAGGAGCCACGGTGTGAAAAACCTCTTTAAAAAGACGAGGTGGGATGAGATCATTTGGGGATCCAGCAGGTTTCATACGACCAGTGATGTCAGTTAAGGAAGACAGGGTGACGAGCTCAAACTGACTGAAGACAGCAGAGCGTGTGACGGAGACGGAGGGGTCGTAAGAAGGAGGGCTTATGAGAGCTCTAATGCTTGAAACCTTATTGATAAAAAAGCTCAGGAAGTTGTCACACATTTCAGTGGAGTTCTCTGGGCTGGCTGATTGTGGGGCGTTAAGAACAGAGGTGATTGTTTTAAAAAGCACACGTGGATTGCTGGAGTTGGAGGAGATGATGTCAGAGAAATATTTGTTTTTTGCAGCTCTAACAGTGGACTGATAGAAGCGCCAGCTGTCCCTCAGAGCTTGGAAAGACACCTGTAGTTTGTCCTTCTTCCACTTCCGCTCTGCTCTCCTGCACTGGCGTCTGGCAGATCGTGTGACCTCATCAGCCCAGGGGTCAGGCTTTGGTCTGGAAGCTCTTGTTTTTAATGGAGCCACAGCATCTAAAACGTTTTGACAGGCTGAGTTAAAATTAGATGAGAGAGCATCGATGAGATGGTAAATGTCAATATTTTATTCGTAATATAACATAGATGACAGATCAAAAGTTTAATCTGAGTAAATGTAACATTTTAAAGGAAAAAATATGTTGATTCAAAATTTCACAGTATCAACAAATCCCAAAAAAGTTGGGACAAGTAGCAATAAGTGGCTGGCAAAAGGAAATTGAGCTTATAACGAACAGCTGGAAGACCAATTAACACTAATTAGGTCAATTGACAACATGATTGAGTATAAAAAGAGCTTCTCATAGTGTCAGTGTCTCTCAGAAGCCAAGATGGTAAGAGGATCACCAATTCCACCATTGTTGCGCAGAAAGATAGTGCAGCAATACCAGAATGGTGTTACCCAGTGTAAAATAGCAAAGACTTTTAAGTTATCATCATCAACCGTGCATAACATCATCAAAAGATTCAGAGAATCTGGAACAATCGCTGTGCGTTAGGGTCAAGGCCGTAAAACTATACTGGATGCTCATGATCTCCGGGCCCTTAAACGTCACTGCACTTCAATCAGAAATTCCACTGTCAAGGAAATAACAGAATGGGCTCAGGAATACTTCCAGAAAGAATTGGCAGTGAACACAATCCACCATGCCATCAGCTGAAACTCTACAGTGCAAAGAGGAAGCCATTTCTAAGCAAGTTCCACAAGCTCAGACGTTTGCACTGGGCCAGGGGTCATTTAAAATGGAGTGTGGCAAAATGGAAGACTGTTCTGTGGTCAGATGAGTCACAATTTGAAGTTCTTTATGGAACACTGGGACGCCATGTCATTCGGACCAGAGAGGACAAGGATAGCCCAAGTTGTTATCAACACTCCGTTCAGAAGCTTGCATCACAGATGGTATGGGGTTGCATGAGCGCTTGTGGCATGGGCAGCTTGCATGTCTGGAAAGGCACCATTAATGCAGAGAACTATGTTCAGGTTCTAGAACAATATGCTCCCATCTAGACGCCATCTCTTTCAGGGAAGACCCTGCATTTTTCAACACGATAATGCCAGACCACATTCTGCAGCAATCACAACATCATGGCTACGTAGGAGAAGGATCCGGTTACTGAACTGGCCAGCCTGCAGTCCAGATCTTTCACCTATAGAGAACATTTAGCGCAACATAAAGAGGAAGGTGCGACAAAGAAGGCCCAAGACGATTGAACAGTTAGAGGCCTGTATTAGACACGAATGGGAGAGAATTCCTATTTCTAAACTTGAGACACTGGTCTCCTCTGTCCCAAGACGTCTGTTAAGTGTTGTAAGAAGGCCACACAGTGGTAAAAATGGACTTGTCCCAACTTTTTTGGGATTTGTTGACGCCATGAAATTTGGAAACAACAGATTTTTCCCTTCAAATGATACATTCTCTCAGTTTAAACTTTTGATCTGTGATTTGTTTTCTATTCTGAATAAAATATTAGATGTTGGCACCTCCACATCATTGCATTCAGTTTTTATTCACAATTTGTTTAGTGTCCCAACTTTTTTGGAATCTGGTTTGTAGCTCTGCACACCAAACTCTTTGTTAAAGACATTTTGAGCCTTTGCCCTTCCTCAGCCTAACAAATGCAAATAAAAAGTTGCTAACTTAAAACAATAATTGCTATGACAAACACCTGCACAAAAATCTATAGGATTATTATCTTAAATCATAAGTTAAAACGGGTAGAAGTAACAGTAGTGCATAACACAGTATGTCGCTAATAATCACTTATCTTTCAAAGGACCTGGTCAGAGTATCAATAACCATACTATTATTATTTTTTTTTTTTGAGCTCAGTTTAAGTGTAGAAACATTGTGAAGTGTTTCAATGAACTTATCATCACTCAATTTTTATTTATTTATTTATTTATTCATTTATTTATTTATATATTTATTTTTTTAAAAGGAAGAGAAGAAGGAAGAGTAAATAAATAATAAAAGAGAAATAGATAAAACAAGAGACCACCACGACAAAACAACATTCACAGCACAATGCCACCCACAATATCACCATGAAACATTCGATATCATACAAGGAATCAACTAGCTTCCACCACTACCCAACCTAGCGTGCATCTGTCAAAGCACCTGAATTCAAACACCTGCGCAAGCACGCCTGCCACCACCAGATTTCTCCAAAAGAATGCCCAATAATGGACGCGGGGGCCCACAGACCCGCCCCCCCAGGACACAATGGCAACATAGGGAGGACCGGAGCCACAGACACACAGCGGCCCACAGGCCCGGAGCCCCAGGAGTCTCCCAACAGGGAGAACCGCACCCCCCCAGAGAGGAGCAGAGGAAAGAACCGGTTGACCCCAGCCACCACAATGCAGAGCCTCCAGGAAGCTGCAGCGACGAACCCACAGGTCCGGCCGGCGACCCATGCCCCCCCCAAGTAGATCCGGCCATGGAC